ATACCACAATCTAGATAGCTTGAACAATGTATTTTATGTCTTTGCAGTTCTGCAGGCTGTGAAGTCTGAAGCCAGGTTGTAGCAGGATTGGTTTCTTCTAAGGCCTCTCTCTTCTTGGTTTGTAGACGGTTGTTTTCTGCCTGTGTCTTCACATAGTCTTTCTTCTGTGTCTATCTGTGTCCTAATCTCATCTTCTTATAAGGAGACCGTATTGGATTAGGTCCACCCTGAGAGTCTCATTTTAATTTAATCCAGCCTTTAAAGGCTCCATCTCTAAATAGTCACATTCTGATATACTAGGGGTTATTATTTTAACTTATGATTTGGGGAGGAACATAATTCAGGCCATGGCAGGTACATATATATATATACTGAAACTCATCAAATTGTATGCTTTAAATACATTCAATTTATTGTATGTTGGTTATGTCTCAACAAATGTGTAAAAACATGGAGGAAAGGAATATGCTCATATTCGTATTTGCTTTTATGTGCATAAAAGAGTGATTGCCTTTTGCAGAAAAGGTGAGTGCATACCAGATAGCGTTCAAAAATAAGACTTTTTAAAAATATGTAAATATATTACTGATTCAGAAAAAATCTCATAAATACATATTTTTAAACATTAGTAAAGTAATGACACCAAGCGCTTTGGGAGTTTAGGAGAGGCAGCAGTCACTGTGAGTTGAGGTTAGAGATTCTGGCCTACAAAACTTATCACAGGTTCTGCTCTCTGTGGTAAGTTTCGCTTAGCTTTATTCAAGATTGTCAGTCTAGCCTTGACTGTATCATTGTCCCATATCTACTTTGTAACTGTTGTACTGTCAAAAACTTTACTGTTTTTTAAACTCATCTTGTCCGTGTGTTCTTACACTAAGAAAATAAAAAGATTTACTTCATTGTAGTAAAACATAGCTATATTTAGGAATAAATTACAGTTTCCAAGAGAGCTTTAGGTTTATTTATTTGCCTAAATTGATTGCTCCTCCATCTCTTTATCCAACTTCATTTGTTTCTTAACCTCATTAGGTCAGTTTTTTGGTAGTTTGTAGGCTGAAAGAAAGGGTTTGAGCTTTGTTCTCCTATGAGTTTTCTCCTTTACAGTTATTTTATAACCCAAACATCTATTAGTGATTAAGTTAAAGGATTTGAAGAATAATTTGTGTATCTTGCAGAGCTTTGGTATAGAAAATTGTCCTAACAATATATTTTTATAGAAAAATGTTTTCAATTAATACATTTTACCTAACTGTTAAGACTGCTTTAAATTAAAGCTGGAACAGTGGAATTTTAGGAAAATAATACAGGTTTGCTTTTCTACGAGATAAAGCTTTTTATCAGTGAATTTGGGAGAGACATTGTGAAAATAATAAACTATAAACTTCAATTCAAAGGGCATTCTAAAGCCCTCCTTTTCTTCATTCATTGCTGACCTGTTTTCAATATAAATGGAAGATTGTAACAGCACTAAATTTGGGCCTTATATAAAGATGTCATAGGGAGTTGGCTGAGGCTCCATCCTAAGTGAGAATTGTTAGTTTGCGAGTGTTCTCAGGGATAACAGATAAAGGTTTATTCTGTGCTATAGTTATTTCCTGTTTGTGGCAATACCATGGGACACATTCAGGTCCAGGAATCCAAATTCGGAAATGCTCTCTGGGAGTATCATCTTACTTTGTCTTCTAGCCCTAATTTGAAATTCTTTGGAATAAGGAGGCAAAGTGCATTCTTGTCCTGGCTCTTATTATAACATTTCAGTGACTTTGGGCAGATTTCTTAACTTTTTCAGATATCAATTTATTCACCTGTAAATTGAAGGGATTATAGCTAAGACTTCTTAAGCACTTCCTTTGTGGCAGACATTTTTCCATGTGCTCTATTTTTATCTGCATTAATTTATTTATACAACCACTCTGTGAGGTAAGCATTGTTTTTAGCCCCATTTTAAAACTGTGGAAGCAAATTATCATCACCATCTATCCCCTTTGTCTTCATTTTTTTCTATATCTTCTAACATTATCTTTCTATATCTTCTAATTTTTGTTTTTGTTTTTGTTTGAGACAGAATCTCGTTTATCACCCAGGCTGAAGTCCAGTGGCGCTATCTCGGCTCACTGCAATCTCCGCCTTCCAGGTTCAAGCAATTCTCCTGCTTCAGCCTCCCGAGTAGCTGGGACTACAGGCACGCGCCACCATGCCCGGCTAATTTTTTGTATTTTTAGTAGGGACAGGGTTTCACCATTCTGGCCAGGCTGGTCTTGAACTCCTGACCTCATGATCCACCTGCCTCAGCCTCCCAAAGTGCTGGGATTACAAGCGTGAGCCACCATGCCTGGCCCTTCTAACATATTTTTAATTAAACTTTTTAAAATCAATATCCTCATTGTACTCTTTGCAGGACACTGTTTTTTGGGTTGGGGTGGGGGTTGTTTTTAGACAGGGTCTACTTCTGTCAACCAGCGGGGAGTGTGGTAATGTGATCTCGGCTCACTGAAACCTCTTTCTCTGGGCTCAAGCTATCCTCCCACCTCAACCTCCCAAGTAGATGGGACTACAGGTGTGCAACCCTATATCCAGTGAATTTGTGTATTTTTTGAAGAGACTGTGGTTTCACCATGCTGACCAGGTTGGTCTTGAACTCCTGGACTCAAGCAGTCTGCCTGCCTCAGATTCCCAAAGTGTTGGGATTACAGGTATGAGCCACCATGCCCAGCGTACATTTTAAAATATTATGTAAAGACAGAGATTTATGTAACTATTTTCAATTGACCTTATAAAGAAGTACAGTGCCCTATCTAAATAATGTAAAAAATGTTTATTTCGGTTTATAAACACTGTGCTTGAAACTTCCCTGAGTTTGTTCATCTGCACTGTACAGCTTCCACTTCAGTTCTGTGGCTTTCACAGTCCGAACAGGCTCTCTACTGCAGGAATTAATACTTCTCTGAGTCTTGCAGCTTCCTAGCTGTGAAGGCTCTGCCAAAACCCTCAGCTTCAGCTGCCCTTGTAGATTAATTATTCGTTAAGGCAGCCTCCAGTATAGGGGCTGGAAACAGGGAGGGGAGGTAATGTTTGTATAAAGTGAATTTTTTGTTTTGACTTGATTTGGGGTTTTTTGCTTCCTATTAGATTACTGAGTCTCAACATTTAAGAAATTATGATACTATGGATTTTTTAAAATTTTTTCATAAGTAGTAGAAAGATTATCTTCCCATTATCCTTGCAAAGTAGGCATCTACATATCAACTGAGTCTTTTCAGAAATATTGCTGTAAATTATTCATTTTCCAATTGCCATCAAATCCACATTACTTGCATAGTAAGACATTTCAGTAAATAAATAGACATCAGAAGTGATCACTTTTTACTGTGTTTCTCCAGGAATATGCTGAATCTTCTTAGACCCTTTTATTGTTAGGCTAGTACATGATTTTTGCTTCCTATCTATTCTTTCTTTAAAGAATAGTGGGATTTTCATTTAATTTTGCAGAAGAATTTTAAAATGGCTGCTGAAATGGCAGCAAGATAGGCATAAATATTTATTGAACATAAGCTGCTAGTTGCTATGATTTGGCTTTAATTATCTATAAATGTAGTTTTAGAATTGTGTTTAAAATATCTGAAGTTATGCAGAAATGCACCTTAATATTGTGATATATTTGACTCATTTTGTAGTAGAATTAATAAATTATATTTCATTTCAGTTATAATGACCCATCTTTAATTTGTAAATCTTAAATTCTCTAGTACCAGATTCAAGATGTTTTATGTTATAAACTAAGCAAAGATTTAATGTTGTTGTCTGTGACTTTTACCTATAGTTTCTTTAGGGAAAATTCGATTTTAGTTAAAGGTACTAATATTGCCAGAGATGTATTTTTAATGACTGACTTACCCATCTTTGCCTCCTTTCTAAACCCTTTGTTTTCTCCCTGTCCTACTCCAGGGCTGATGTGCAACAAAGCCAATGCAGCTTAAGCTTTAAGACCCCCTCATTTATCTCTTTCAAATCCTATCAGGGACCATGGTAATTTTGTATTAATACTGTATTTGTTCTCTTAAAGAGGACCCTTCTAATTACATAAGCTTCTGTATACACACAACCTCTGTATCCAACACAGGATTGTATCTTATAAGATTCTTCTTAGTGGCACAGCAGAGAGGACCAAAAAAGTGTGGGGAATAAACCTATTTAAAATCAGAAATCATATAATTGATGGGAGAAAAAGGAGGTTATATTTTTCCATACAGTTTGCAAAGCTGTATCAACAGCTACCAAAGTCTCTGCTGATATATCATGTATTTCATAAAACCTTACTCAGTCTTCCTTTATCATCGTGCTGGTAGGCGGATTCTCTTCAGCTTTTCAGCTCGTGTACAAGTAATAGAATAGTGGGCAAAATTCAGAGAGGAAGACTCTTTCACCAGCCCTGCTTTAACAGGAGTGGGAAGGTAATGTGCTGGGAGAGGACAACTTGGAATGATCCACAAACTTGTGCTTTGGCATCAGATAGTCCTTTCATTCCCCACCACCCCCCCAAGCTGGTACTAGGGTAAAGCATTTGAGGCATCAAGGGTGCAAAATTTACATCTGAATATGATAGACTACTAATTAAAAACTTATCTCCCTCACCCTCAATTCTAAAAAATTAACACCTAATGACTTTCATTGTGTTGTTTATTTGGTAAACCATTTTGTAGTAGTAGGGGCCTGATGTCAAGCAGATGTCTATCTAATCACCGAATAAATCACTTACCAGCATTGAGATCCTGGGCAAAATAACTTCCCGGAACTTTATTTTCCCCAAGTAAGAAGGCCATAGGATTAAAAAGTATATACCTTTAAGGGCCTTATAATATGTAGGTACCACTGAATGTCAGCTCCTTTCCCCACAAGGTTCTTGTTGGTACATGTCCTGCAGCCATGCCCTAAGTGTGGTCTGCCCAACTGGCTACTCTCACTTGATTAAAAAGTATATGATTGTCAAACTGTATTTTCAGAGAATGATGAGGAGCAGGAGGCGCTGCCATCTCTGGATAAACCTGGCTGGTACTCCCAAGGGAACGCTGTCCACCTCTATGAGCTTCTGAAGAAAATGACTGGCAAACCTGAACCCAAGGTATTTTCCAGTTGAGGAGAAGCCCTCAGCGCCCACTTGCAGACATAAGCAGTTGTGAACTGCCAAACCTCTCCTAATTCTTCTGCTTAAATAAGCCTTTCCTTTGTCAGTGTAGACAGGCTGTCTATCTGTGATAGAGAAGAGCAAGGATTCCAGGCAGGGCACCACAGATTAGGGGGTGTGTGAGTGTGTAGGATGCCTGTGGAATGTTAATCCTGATAACAATCCATCCAAAAAGTTTTCATATATAAAACAAACAACTGAAATTATGCTACAGACTAGCTTAAAGATACACTTGTTTTTGACAGCATGATCACGTTGTTGATGTTGGACACTGGTGCATTTCTAACAGCAGAACCCTTTCTTCTAAGAAAATAGTTACCAGAATTTCTGTGAGCTGAGAGATCATGGGGTAACAGAGCCCTGCTCCATTGGCTGTCACCATGCCACAGTCCCCTGGGGACTCCTGAGGGTTAATGGATGGAGCAGTCTGACTTGCAGATGCTGATTCTCATATCCCTTAACTCTGTTTTCACATCTGAAAATTGAGAGGTATGGACTCAGTCAATGGAGTTTTGCTTCAGACTACCTAGGGAACTTTCCAGCTTCAACATGCCTAGCCCCACTCTCACAGATTCTGTTTCAACCAATCTGAAGTTGGGCCCAGAAACTCTCTTGAAAAGTGGTTGTGATTTGCACTTTTAATAATCTCTAATCCACAAGTTGTCTCTAATACCTCACCAGCTCCTCAACTGCAGGGGCCATTTTATTAATAATTGTAAACATCTATGTAAACATATAGGTTCACTTCTTTAGGAAAATTGAATAAAATCACTTATTTCACCTTATCCTCTCTTCCACCTGTGAATGTGTTGTATAACTTCTTAAGACAAATCTGGCACCCTGTGAATCAAATGAGACAAGTTGATGGTCACCTGTGAGGTTATTAAAAACATTTAAGCTGTTTATGCAGTTTTTGATTGTCATATTCTGATGCCTGTTGAGAAATTTTCTTCTTCTTTATATGAAATAAATGCCACTCTCTTTCACAATTCTATGCCTCAAACAGCATCTGCTATCTGTCTTACAGGTTGTTTATTTTGGTGACAGCATGCATTCAGACATTTTCCCAGCTCGTCACTATAGTAATTGGGAGACAGTCCTCATCCTGGAAGAACTCAGAGGGGATGAAGGCGCGAGGAGTCAGAGGCCTGAGGAGTCAGAGCCTCTAGAGAAGAAAGGAAAATATGAGGTTAGGGTTCCCTGCATCTCTTTCCTTGAAAGAAAAATATTTATGTTTGAAAGCTAAAGTATCTTTATACTACTTGACTCCAAAATTGTCCTGGTCAGGCTGAACGCCATCATGTTAAAAAAAAAAAAAAAGACTAATAATTTGAAACTTTGTACTAATTTTATTGACTTCATGTTCTATTTATACTGAAAGCAATAAATAATAATCCCATCCTCATTCCTTTCTAAAAAATAAATACTAAATAAGAAAATTAGACCAAGTTGTTTTTTAACTACCCTTTAGACATCATCACCATCATAATAGAATTACAGAGTTATTTTTATTGTAGGGAAAAAAATTCTGTTTCTAGGTTGCTCTGTTTGGGCTGGTTTTCAGATAATAACTAACTGACCATATAAAAAGCTAGTTTCTGTTTAAAATAAAGGATACTTCATAATAAGGAGGAAATATTATTCCTGTTCCAAAAACTTAATGTGTGCCCAAAGCCTATTTGTAGATTCCTACAGGGTTTCAAAGTTTTTATTTACTTCATAGACAAAAAAGTTATGAGATTGAACATTGGTTAATCACCATTTTAATTATTCTGTTCTCTTGTTTCAGGGACCAAAAGCAAAGCCTTTAAATACTTCATCTAAAAAATGGGGTTCTTTTTTTATTGATTCAGTTTGGGGACTGGAAAATACAGAAGACTCCTTGGTTTATACATGGTCTTGTAAGAGAATCAGTACTTACAGCACTATTGCAATTCCAAGTATTGAAGCAATTGCAGGTAAGGGGGAACATACCTATAAAGCTTCATCTGTTACTAGACAATAATGACCAGTACTAGAATTCTTGTCTTTAAGAAAAAGAAATCTTCCCACAACATTGATTTATCTTTGGGGAAAACATCTTCTAGATATGGAACCTAGGTAATTAGGACCAGCACTTCTGTGGGAGGCAACTACAAAAGCTCGACAATTTATTTTTTTTAAAATTCAGCTTGGAGGCATATTATAAATTTAGGGAAGAGTTACCAGGACAAGCTGCTGAGGAGGCCCAGTAAGGGGAACCTCGCATTTGAGGCTACTTTTCCCCCTGGGTGTTTGCTGATTCTGGAGAGGGCACCACAGAGGGTGAGTGGGCCTTTCAGTAACTTCATGAATCTACAGGAACAGGAACTGGAGGAGAGGGCCTGCCTGAGGAGGGGTGGGTCTGGTGAACTCCCTCAATCTATGTTGAGGCCCTGAAGTGCTTTACTTTAGAATAAGGATGAATTGAGAAGAAATCTCCATTTTCACAGGAACTAAAACTCAGCTTGAAATCAGCTGAATACCTAAAATTGGATTGAGGAGATTCCAAATTAGTAGTGCCCCAATATATTAGTAGAAACAAATATAGATTCTCTTTTGAGGAGGATAACATCATTCTAGGACTCAAATTATTTCTAAAAATAATTCATATAAAATTCAGCACATAATGAAAAATAGCCAGGCACATAAAGATTTGAGACCACACTAACAGAAATAACCATGCTTATTATAGTCAAATACGGAAACGGAAGGAATGAGAAATTTGGTAGAGACAAAAACTATGGTATAAACTGTGATATAAAAAGAATGGAGATTTCAGAATTTAAATATTTAAAAAATGAAATTAAGAACTTAACAGGTGGATTTAATAGCAAATTAGACAGAGATGAAAAGTCACTTAGTGCACTGGAAATTAGGTCAAAAGAACATATTTGGAATGAAACAGTAACAGAAAAATCATAAAAGGTACAGAAGAGAGACTGAGACATAAAAGATATAGTAAGAAGGAGTAAGGTTTCTATACGGCCAGCCTTCTGTATTCTCGGGTTTCACATTTTCAGATTCAACCAGCTGTGGATAAAAATTATTCAGAAGAAAAAAACAAACATAATACAACAATTTAAAATGTTACAAATTTTTAAAAATACAGTATAACTACATAGCATTTACATTGTATTCGATATAAGTAATCTAGTGATGAATTAAAAGTATACAGGAAGATGTATGTAGGTTTAATGCAAATATTATGCCATTTTTTGACTTGAGCATGCACAGGTTTCGGTATCACAGGGGTGCCCTGCAGATACTGAGGGTCATCTGTGATTGGAGTCCCAGGAGATGAGAGAATAAGGGAGATGAGAGAAAAGTGATGGGAAAAAAATAAGCCAAAGGTTTAAGAAGCCCAAAGAAATGAAACAAAATGAATAAAAAGAAATTCAGAGTTAACTGCTAAATGCCAAAGATAATTAAATATTAAAAGCAGTCAAGAGCATAAATATAGATTAAATAACAGATTGACATCTGACTTATCAGAAACAGAGAAGAGTCAAAGACAATAGAATGATGACTTTAAATTGCTGAAAGGAAATCATGTGAATCTTGATGGAATTCTATACCCAGTAAACTTTTTAAAGAATAAAAGTAAAATATTGGCTGGGCTTGGTGGCTTATGCCTGTAATCCCAGCACTTTGGGAGGCCGAGGCGGGCAGGTGGATCGATACATCTGAGGTTAGGAGTTTGAGAGCAGTCTGGCCAACATGGTGAAAGCCTGTCTCTACTAAAAATACAGAAATTAGCCAGGTGTGGTAGTGGGTGCCTGTAATCCCAGCTACTCGGGAGGTTGAGGCAGGAGAATTGCTTGAAGCTGCAAGGCAGAAGTTGCAATGAGCTGGGATCACACCACTGCACTCCAGCCTAGGTAACAGAGCAAGACTCTGTCTCAAAAAAAACAAAAAAAAAGTAAAATATTTTTAGACAGAATAATAAAGAAGGAGGAAATAAAGATTATTGTTCTCCAGGTACAATTAAAAATAATTCATGTTGGAAGACTGGAAATGCAAGAAGAATGTATGTGATATAAGTATATGGTATAAGTGTATGAATTAAAAATGAATGCTTAGTGTTTGAAACAATAAAAATTAAAGTCCCATGGGATTTACATAAATAGAGATTTAAAATGCCTGACAACAATGGCATGTATATGCCAGAGTGGGGCAGCAAAAATTAACATGTTCTAACATGCTAGAATTAAACAATTAAGGATAAGACTATGTTCAATATTGATGTCGGAAATGCACGTTGTAATCTCTAAAATAACTGGCAAAAGAATTGTGATGATATACATACACCAACCTACTATGTAAAATAATTTAAGAATCTAAAAGAAAACAAAGGGGATGAGAGAATATTAAGAATCAGCAAGACAAATGGAAAGCATTTAGTAAAATGTTTAATTTAAACCTGAAGTAATTACATTAAATATATGTGACCAAATACTCCAATTAATAGCTGATTTTTAAAAAATAACAATACTCAGCCGGGCACTATGGCTCACACCTGTAATCCTTGCACTTAGTAGAGATGGGATTTTACCATGTTAGCCAGGATGGTCTCCATCTCCTGACCTCGTGATCTGCCCACCTCGGCCTCCCAAAGTGCAAGGTTGTTTATAAGAGATATATCTAAGACATAAGGATTCAGAAAGTTTAAATATCAAAAGATGGATGAAATAATACCATGCTAACAGTAACCAAAAGAGAGAGTAACTGCATTAATATGAAACACAGTAGATATTAAGGGGAAAAATGATTAGCATGAGAGAGATCACTTCATAAATACAAACTCTTAGTTCTCGGAAATATATAACTGCCAGTCTAAGATACTCACAAAGTCCCCTGTCCTCTCTCAGGTCAGAACTTAATCTCTCCATTTTCACAATACCAAGAAAATGCCTAAAAAAGAAAACATCCACTCTCCTTTATACAGGCATATGCTTTTCCGCTTGGATTCTTAGTTTCCAAGTTTCCTTCAGCATTTGGCAAAGGGTTTGAGGAGAAAACCGGCAGAGTCCAGTTCTCTAACCCTTCCTTTACAGTGGTCCTAGCCCCTCAATTTTTGTCTCTGCAGCCCTGCAAGACTGCCAAAATCTCTACTGGTTTTTCTGCTGCTTATAGTAACCCCTACCACCAGCCAGAATCCCAGCACCAGAGGAGAAAAGCTGAAGCTTAGTGCTAGCTCCTCTCTCCGCTGGTACCTCCTTCCCAGGAATTGTATCTTAAGTCTTGGTTGCCTCTTTAGCTCTCTGGTGACTTCAGTCTCATGTTTATATTTTATCCAGATTTTCTAGTTGAAGTTAGAAGTCTAGTTAATTTTTTTGAACTTCAGATTCTTCTTCCTTCAATTGAAGAAAGTTGCCATGTTGTATGTATTAAAATTCTTATTTAGCTAAGCATTTGAAGATTATTCTTAGTAACCCTCTTCCTGGGACCATGAAGATTATTAGGTCTCATTCACCAGTTACATGATCCTCTGAGGAGGGCCTGGGAGATTTTTTTTTAATTTTTATTCAGATAAGCCTTCATATTTTTGTATTAACTTCTGTGCAGAGTATTAAAATTAAACTCACTAGTTAGAGCTCTGGGGATGATTTGAGATATCTCTAAATGTGATTTGCCTTAAGCATTATTATAAATTGTATAGGGAAAGATATCTAACTCTTCATCCTAAGTGACCTTTGATAGACCTTTTCTGTAATATGGGAGAAAGAATAAAATTAAATTGTTTTAAATAAGATAGGAAGTGAAAAATAACTTAGTACATCCCTTTTGCCTCTTAAAACCTTATATTCAAGTAATGTTTCTGTATTTGTGGATATTCTGTTAGACATGGTTATCTCGTTCACATTTAAATGCCTAGAAGCCTTTTTTATAGCTGTTGTAAAAGTTTGTATTTATTAGCCATATATATATGTTACAATGGTGATTGGTTTATACACATTTTTAACCTTATAATAATACCTACACAGAGACCTACTGAAGAAGCAAAAGAAATGTTAAAATTGTACAGGTTTCAAAAATGTTTTACTATCAGTGAATATCAAGTTTTGATTTGTTTATGAAAGGCATTCAGAGGCCTGTGCAATAATTAAACTTTTTTTCCTCCCCAGAATTACCTCTGGACTACAAATTTACAAGATTCTCTTCAAGCAATTCAAAAACAGCTGGCTACTATCCAAATCCTCCACTGGTCTTAACAAGCGATGAGACACTGATATCCAAATAAGTTGTCTTTATTGGAAAATGAAATGAAGACCCATATATGCAGTAAAAAAAAAAAAAAAAAAAAAAAAGTCAAAAAATACTGTAAAAGACTTTAAGGAACGAGTTTTATTGACCAAGAAGTTGATATTTGCCCATAGGTATCCTTTCTATAAATCATCTTGATGTTTAACAACTCTTATTATATTAAAATCTTAGTATCCTAAAACTTAGAACCTTATTGATATTTTCTATACAATAGTTTTGTGATTAGAATTCACCTGGGGACACACACTCCCACACACAGTCATTCTTACACATATGCCTAGTTCAGTGGTTCTCAAAGTGTGATCCATAGACTAATAGCAGAGCATTACCTGAGAACTTGATAATGCACATTGCAGGCCCCACCCAAAACCTGTTGAATCAGAAGCTCTGAGAGTGGGGCCTACCAATCTGGTTTAACAAGCCCATCAGGTGATTCTAATTTACACCACAGTTTGAGACCCACCGACCTAGAACATATCCTCCAGAGACTTGGCTTAATTGGTCTGGCTAAATATAGCTGAGCATTGTTACCTTTTATATGCCCTAGGAAAGTGCAGCCAGAATTGAAAACCAACTGATCTATACCAGTTCTTTCAATTAATAGTCAAGAACACTGAGTCCAGTGAGATTAAGTGATTTTTCCAGGCTATGAGGTTTTATGCTATTCCTGTGTTCTCTAAAACAAGAAAATAAAAAGACATGATTTCTGTTCATACAGCAAGTATGGAACAGAGATGGTCTAGAAGTCAATTATCTCAACCTCCATTGTTACTCACTAGTTTTTTTTTTTTTTCTAATAATGCTAAAGGCTATTTAATTTATTTAATCAGCTTTAAGCATTACATTCTCAGTAGGGGACGAAAAATTGGTTCTTGGGGTGAAAAAAAATACTAGATGGGGTGAAAAAAAATATGGATAGGATGACTTCCAAAATCACCCTATCCAACAAAATCTTATTCCTCAGTATTAATTTCTCTCATTGGGAAGAAATTTGTAGTTGAAACTATTTAATTTAATTTGAATTTAATTTCTGTAATTGGGAAGGAGGGTAATAATGAACAAAAAGTTTGAGAAAAAATGCTTTAAGGGGTTTTACAGGCATACTACAGTCCAGGACTGTGGTGTTCTATGTGCTATGTATAGTCATATTAGTAGCTATTTGTTGCAAGATACTTGAAGCCAAATGTTTGCAGTATCCGTTCCTGGCTACTCTTTAAGCTGTGATTTCACTCTGTCTATCATGGGCAGTATTAGAAAACATACTGGTTTTCACTATCTGGTTTTCAAACACTATCATTATTTTACCTGGATTGTAGTGGAGAATTGAGCATATCAATGCATGCACTGGAAAGAAAAAAATTTTGTTAAAATTTGGAAATGTTCAGCTAAATCCCAGATATACTGTGGGATGAGTTATCTCAGGGTAGGGAAAAAAAAAAAATTACTAAAATTTTTCCCTCACAGTCAGTAGCTTTCTTTGATATTTAACAATAAGTATATAGTGATATACTTAAAGTTTATGTCCAGAATGTCATTGGAATATTACAATGAGCATAAATAAGCTTAGGACTACATGAAAGATGCTATCTCATGTATGCTTTAAATAGAAAATTGATTTCTTTTAAAAATAAAACTATTTTTCCTTATCCATGTTTATTCTGTAAATGGCAAATAATACATCTTTAAATACTTATAAACTACTGTTAATATGAAAAATGAGAACTCCAAAATAAGAAATAATTGCACTTTTTGGGCCACTGAGTAGTGGCGGGGGTTCGGGAGGCAGAATTTGGTTGTCAGAAGTTCTACACGCCCCTTTAGCATTCTACCTAAAGACCCTGAACAAGTTACCAACAACTGGGCTTCAGTTTTTTCCATCTTATAAAAGGAGAGGTTTAGTTTATTTCTAAGTTTCCTTCCTTTCTAGCAGTCAGTATTTCTTCTAATGAATGTTTTTTTCTATAATTAGCAAGACTATAAGTTGGTTTTTTAAATTTGTATTTCACTGTTTCTAAAAAGTGCCAGTGTTTCTGATTGGATATGAAGATTAAAAATAATCATCCAAATGTGGCACCAAAAAAATTAAAAAGAAAATATTAAAGTAGTTATATGAAACAAAAAAATTGTATAAATGGGCAGAAGACATGTAATATTTGCATACAGGCAAACATTCATAATCTAAAGGACACCTAAAAATAGATTTAAGGGAGCGGAGGTTTTCTTTGCTGGCCACTGTCCATCGCATCAGCAGAGGAAAGATCTGAATGGCTCAGTGACCAAATGTTTTGTCAGAATCTGGCATTTGGAATACTGAGGTAGTAAAAACTTCAACTGAACCATGAATTGCAATCTAAAATCAACTGAGTTTGTTAAACTCTAAACTGAAATCAAGTATTATTTCCCCACCAATGTTCATATCCAAAAATAACTTTAAATACACACACTTTTAGTGAACTGGCTTGAATGAAAATAAATTTATATAATTATTTTATATAACAAATCAGCATAAAGTGGAAAATCAAACTGCCTCTCTAGGTATAATAACCTTGACTGAATGGTAGAAATAGATGGATAGCTTTTTAAAATATTCAGTGTTGGAGTAACAGTCCCTTACATCTTTTCAGGCTCTTGAGCACAAGAAGACTATCCTAACAGTTGGTTCCCAGATTGGTGCAAGACTGGAATACACTTGACTGCTTTTGTTAAAGCCATGACAGCATACCAAGTAATTCACCCAGTATGGTCTTATGGCCATCCTTGAAAATCCCTGGGCATGGTCCAGTTCAAATGGAATGAATTCAAAAAGGTGTCTCTTGTTGGTCTCTAGAACTATCCTCAGAAATAATAGTAAAATAGTGGTCATGAGTGCTGACTCCTCGCTAGGCTACTTCATGTACATTGTCTTGTTTACTCTCTACAGCAACCATATGAGATGTATATAATTATTAAATTGTACAGATGGGAAAACTGAAATTCAGAGTGATTAAATACAATGCTTGCTCTACGTTACACTGTTACTAAGAGAGCAATACATGAACTCAGGTTTGATCCTCAAAATCACACTTTTAATTACTTGATACATAACGTCTTCCCATGTTGAATCTAGACTGGGGCAAATTCTCAGCCCAAAACCACACTTCAGTTTAGCAATAATGCCATTCTAGGACATAAGAGGGATTAAAAGTGAAGACACAGTCTCTATTCTTAAGTAATTCATAATTTAGCCAAATATATTAAATATCTGTAATATAAAACTTACCTAGGAGAGTAAAATAGAGATCCAAGAATCATAGGAGTCCTAAAGCATATAATGAATTTGCTCTTCTTGGAAGCCACACACACCAAGGTCATCAGTAAGCAGGCCTACTCTTTCTTCGTATTCTGGGTTAATGTTCACCTTGACTGCTTGGTAAATTTCCCTCAGTTGCTGAAGTAACCAAAATGGAGAATGAGTGATGAAAACTCATCTTTGAGTAAACTTAGTGGGAAATGGGATATCTGGGCCTATAGAGAAGTTGGGTCATTACTTACAATGACAACTAGAAAACTACATAGACCGCTTGACAATTAGTTTCTTGAACCACATACCTGTTCACAGACTTTTCAAAAAACAAGTTTGTTTTACTTTTTTTGGTACTTTGGTCATGTTACTTCCTTGTAAAGATCAAAGTTTAATAAAGCTTAACAAAGTTTAATAAAGAAAAGGAATAAACTACTATCTAAATGTGTTAAAAGCAATCACCAAGTTTAATCAATTAAAAAATATTATTTTAATTTAACGGAAATGTCAGCAGTTCTTTACAATGCTTACCAGCTAAATTCCGTGAGTATAACATTTAATGTCTTTTTGGTACATTAAATGTTCAATGCCTTTGATGAAGGGAAAAAACTGTTAAATTTCATTCATGTGCAGCAAACATCAAGATTACATAAGTAAATTCAAATGTGTTCATCTGTAACTGTATGGAATCCTGTATTAAATCAAGGGATAAAATGTACTCCTCTCAAAGGCTGTTCATGAATGATTAAACATAACCTTCAACTGAGGCCTGAATACTCATGTCAATAGGGTTTAACATTTGTATGCCAAATTTACTACCATAGCTGTGATAGTGTGGAAGGTATGCTAGCTTGAAATCAGAAAACTCAGCAGTGAGACTTGCATCTTAGGCAGTTTACTTCCACTTTCTGGACCTCTGTTTTCTCAACTATTTAAATGGAAAGAATAAAATTTGTTACAAGGTTTATCAAAGTAATATGAGACTGCACTTCGAAGTGCCTGACATACCTCAGATCTTTTGAGGAGATTGTGAAGCCAGGGAATATGTCACTGAAACAAGATCAAATATCCAGGTCTTAAATTGTGATTCTGTAGGACAGGAACTCAAAAATTAAAAATACAGGTAAGAGTTTTAGTTTTTGTTCGTTAATGACGAAAACTTTTAAGGACGCTTGAGTTAGCTGGAGACAAAGAAGCAGCACCAGGAGTAATGGGGAGAAGGGCCTGATAAGAAGGTCAGAGAAGCCTTTAATAAGTGTCTGGCTTGTGCTGAATGCCCAGAAATGGAAGCCCAAGGAAATGTTGTGTGAGGACCAGGAAATTATGCAGTGTCACCACTACTCACAGAGATTATCACCTGAGAAGACTAAAATGATAATACTTCTTAGGTGACCAGAGGATGGGAGAACCTCTTAACAGGTTTGGAGGTCCACATAAAGAATAATTGGGGTCTAGAATTATGGAAGAAAACCAAAGCAATACAAAGAAATGGAGCAGGGCTATAGCCGTGAACCAATTGGTTGGTAAGTGAAACCTGTAAGATGCCTAATTGAGTAACTTAATGACTAATTTTATTAGACTAAACAGAACAGAAACCATGCTAATCTGTAACAAATAAGTGGCGCCAGCCTATTAGAGTGAATGCTATTGGTTAGACTAAAACAGATAATAAGCCAAGTGTAGGAAAAATGACATTTTCTGATTACATCCAGAACAGGCACAGAAAACGTAAAATAAAGCTTGAAACAGGTGGTTGGCAATGCAGAAATCAGTCACTGAACCGAAAAGGTAAGAACATTGTTAGGGGAATTTAGGATTAAGATGGATGTAGAGCTTGCAAAAGAAAACCTAGCTCTCTAATACTTGAAGTTCTCCAGCCCTAGAAAAAAATACCTCAGCAAGAAATTGTAAGTAACAATTACACCAGGAGTCAGCATCTATTTAATTGTATGTTTAAGTTTCTAACTCAAATGAGAAATGTTGGGCCATTGTCAAATTTTTGCTTAGATGGCTACAAATACTTGGCAATTCATTTTCACAGATTTTGCAGCATGCCTAAAGCCCTCCTTACTGCAGGGAATGCAGAGGTATTTATCCAATAAAACTTCATGTAATTGCTGCTATACAACAAAACTATCATTACTGGTAATTAAAGTTGTGATACCTGATATCATTTGTCTCTAGACATTTTATTTCATGTTTTCTTGGTATTCTTTTTAAAGCCACACACTGGTGTAAGAAAATAATGTAAGTAGCACTCAGAATACACAATAATTAATTCTTCCAAAAGTCTATCTTAAGCTTATTGAGAGTTAGACCTCGGAAGGCACAGTTAATATAAATGTAATGAACAAGGATGCTGCATAGACAAGTTTTCCACTGAAAACAGTATTTTAAGTGATACTATATGGTGCTTCAATTACCACCAAAAACTGCACTGGTTATATAGAAAAAATAATGCTCATGAGTATGCAGTTGTAGTTGGGCTTCTATTTACCATTTTTCAAGTGAAAAATCTTAGGAGGTTTGGTGGCTGTTGCCTTTTTTTTTTTTTTTTTTTTTTTTTTAAACTTTCAGGATGATAGTTACTGGTACCATTTGATAACTTTAATGATTTCCCAACCTTAAATTAACCTAGACAACAGAATTTTTTATTTATTTTTATTTTTTGATGAAAACAAGAAATACAGTAGTGACACTTTGTTTTTCCTTCAAGCACATGGGAGAAGACAAAAGTACTAATAATCATCATTGAGTTTGACAGAGAAATTCTACTAGTACTTACACTGCTTAGGAACATAAATGTCAAGTACATTACTAGGGCAAGAAATATCAAGTAAGACAACAGAGTCATATTTTTCTTTTTGAGGTTATTTTCACAAGACATAGCAACAATTTGTAAAATATTCAGACTACTGAAAGATCACATTCAAATTATATTTCTAAGAATAGAGCCATATATGAACAGACAGCAGAACAAGCTAATACATTAATGAATATTCACTGAAGTCTTCATACTGCACAGGACACAAATTTGGTATTTTTGCACATGTTGTCAATTATAAGCAAAAAGCAGGCCTGTAAACATCAATTTTGTCATAGGCTGAAACGGAGAAAGGAAATAGATTTTACTCAAAAACAGTGACATAAGGAGCATATACCATTAATCTTCCACACATATAAAGGTCACTCCTAGGATAATCGAGAGGAAACACCCAGACTTACAGTTTTGTTTACAAAAATCTACTGGTGAATTCAAGGACTTAGAAAAAATTGAAGGAAAATCTTCCTCCAAGCATATGATTTAAATCCCAGCTCCTCTTCCCTGGGGCGCACCTCAGGGGCCTACCCTCCCACCCCTGACCCTGCAGGGTCTTTCCTGTAGGCCTTTCCAAACCCACTCCACAACAGGCTCATTTCTGCTCTGGACTTACTCAGTTTCCCAACCTAGACTAACCTCTCCACTGTGTGTGTTCAGACCTCCTCAACCCTAAGGGAGCTTAGGTCAAAGCCTTCAAAATCGAAAGGGAAAAATTCCCCTTACCCCTACAAGGAGGCTGGAGATCTTCCACAATGCAGGCTGCAGCCTGCTTCTTCATTTGTTAGGAGCAGGGAAGGAAATGCAGAAGCTGAGAAATGAGGGCCAAGAAAGCCAGGCAGTAGGATGAAGACACATGGGACATCAGGGCAGGAACAAAGTAGTACAAAGGAGAAGAATGACCTACAAAATGCTACCCTGGGGTCATTTCCAAGCAGTCCAAGGCCTAAAAAAGCATTTCCATCTTTAGAAAAGTGGAGTGAAGCTAAGTTTTGGTTGCCTTTGCTCACATCCTGTTCAGGACCTATCCTGAACCCATCACTGTGAGGACCTTCTCTCTCTTTCCAGCTTCTCAAACTGAAAGCTCAAGAAATACACAGGTTTTGGTAAAATGGATAGGGTAAAAGATAAAGATGTCAAAACCTGCCTAAAAGAACACTGCCTATAACTAAACAACCTATAGGTCTCCCTTTGAAATTGTCAGACCTTGCTAAAGGAAGTGGGGTGGAGGAATAAGGGCAATAAGAGATCTGGAACCCATTTAATCATACCTTTCCTCTCTGAACACAATCAAGGAAAGAGCAAATTAAACAAAAAGTCTGCTTTGCCAGTTTTGTTTTCTGTTCATAAGCTAAAACTGCTTCAGAGTGAAAGGGAAGAAAAGAAGGGATGGGAGGGAGAGGGGAAGGGGGAGGGAGAGAAAGAAAGAGACACAGAGACAGAAGCATAAGAAGTCTCACATTCCAGAAATATCTCTTCCTCAATGCCCCAACTCTGGCAACTTTGTCATGTTCAGAGTGGGAGCAGGCGGGGAAAAGAGGAAATGCCTAAAGAAGTTGCTCAGATTAAGGATGGTTTGTTGGCTAGCAATCAGAAAGACTAAGCTGGAAGGGACTGCGTTCCAGCCTTGCTTTGGGCACTGTCACATATGACTGCCCATCTTGGTGGTAGGGGGTGTTCCTGTGAGCTCCCTGGGAGCTACGTCTATAGATAGTTCCTGAAGGCAGACAATGGTGGCCTAAGCAAAGTTCAACCAGAAGGTGAGAGCAAGTAGGGCTGGGCTATAGCACAGGCTTCATACTTACCAGTAGCTGGTCATGATGTAGAGTAACCAAAGGAACAGGAACACCAATGTGATATCATAGAACACTTTTCATCTATTACCTCATTCATGCCTAGCAGTCACCCACCAGCCACCAGCTTGTTCTACCAGATAACCAGTAGGGTGGATGGCACAAGCCCAGGAAGGCAGCTGGGATCCAGTTGGTGGTAGTCTGGAATGTCCAATTTGGGTTGATGGCTGGGTTAAGATATCAGTTTTGTCTTGCAGTGGTAATACCTAAAGAGCTTACCATAAGTACATGGGTATCAGGTACACAGCCAGCATAAAGTATGAAGCCCAGTCAGTTATTTGTGAAGATGTATCAAGACTCTTTGTGGTACAGAACCACTTAAACTGGGAGAAGACCACGGTCACAGACAGGGTCCAAGCCATGCAAAGAAAGGCAGTATGGTACAGTACATCTATAGTATCATGTTTGGCATAGAAGCCGTAGAAGGCCATGCACTTGAAACATGTTAACACAATGCAGAAAAGCATGAAGGTCCAGAGGAAGAATGGCATGGGCAGGTAAGCCAATAATCTTGCAACTGATTACTGAAGATTTAGAAGAACCAAAGGAAAAGATAATCCGCAGTATGAAGAGAAAGCAGACAGAAGACTGCATGCTGTTGGCCAAGCATAGGTCCAAGAGGAGGTGGTAAGGAAACTTGTGCAGAAGCTTCTCATAGGACAGAGATTAGCCAGACTGGAACCTGAAGGATCTGGCACTCTCCACTGGCTGCCTTGGTGGGCCTCGAATTCCTCTACGGGGCCCTTCACCCATCAGGTAGTATTGTAGGGGATTGGGCCACAGTTCTCCTTTGATAATCTCTGCAATTCTGTCGAATTCTAGAAGGCTGTGGTCTGAAAACCAGTTGAAGAAACTAGGGATAGTGTTCCCTTCCCGGTTTCTGTGGATATGAGCCTGGGGATCTTGGCCTCGGTGCCAGCGGATTGGAGTGGAAAGAGACACCACTCGCCCAGAGGATCTGCGCTCATATTCCTTGACGAGCCCCTCATTTCGGAAGTAGGGGTTGCCCTGAAAGATGAACTTGAATTTGCAGCCTGCTCTGGGGTGTTTAAGCTCCTCCACCTCCAAATTGATCATGTACCTCAGCATGTCTTCATCTTGGCCACTGATCATAGGTGACAGCTGGGGGTGGTTTCGAAAGGCAGTGACCCAGAAACCTGGGATATTTTGGATAATGAAACTTCTGCGCTGCATGTGGAGCCTTCGCATGCGGCCAAACTTGCGCTCAAGCTGAAGGAAGGCCCTGTCAGCCTGGGCATTTACGTTTGACAACTCTTGATCGATGGCCTCCAGCGAGTCCATGCAGTTATTGATCTTCGGGGCCCTGGGCCGTGTCTCCTCTTTCACCCCTCCTGCCACCTTTTTTTCCTTCTGCACTACCTTCTTTTCCTCCATCACCGCCCCCGCTTCTCCCTCCTTTTTCACCGCTGCTGACATGGCGCACTTTTTAGTCGTCACTTCCTTGGCCTTCTTCCCGGCTATCATCTGAGACCCCAACCCCCCTGCGCCACAGGCTTCTAGAGCCTTCTGCCCAGCAGGGCCACGGGGCTCTCCAAGCTGACAGCCATTTTTCTGGCTGTTATCAGCAGCCTCGGAGGCAGAGGCTGCTTCCAGACCTTTCGTAGAAGGTGGAGCATCCTCCTGCCCGGCTTCGGTCGCCACACAGCCGCGACTCCTGGCAACTGGGACGCGGAGCGCGGGGCCGCAGTCAACAGGATCCCGGGATGCACCTCCCTCCGCAGCGGTCTCCAGGCTGCCCCCACCTGTGTTCGCCATCACCTGTGTCGCCTCGGTTTCTTCATGGAGCACTTGGCACTGGTCTAGGTCCGGATCTCCTGAGGCATGGTCGGGAGCAGCCAGGTCGCCAGTTTGGGCGAGAGAGAGCTTGTTGCCCCCATCCAGGCCGCTCATTTTGGTAGAAGTCAGACTGGCGGTACAGGGAGAGTTCCTTGTCCTCCGCAGCGGCCGGCCGCACTCTGCCGGAAACGTCTAGCGCCACCCCTCTTTTACTCGCCGCGGTGCTACCATGGCAACCGGTGATGTCAGAGCGGTAGCGTCCTAACATCGCGCGAGAACTCTGCGCCGGTGACTACGCTTATCAGTCCGTCGTATTCCTTTGTCTTCTTGTCACAAAAAGAATTTCATCAATCTGGAAAGGGAGTTTTACTTACGTAAATGGATGTAGACCAGACTCAGACATGTGAGAACTGTCTTAATGTGGATTTATAAGCCTCTGAATGAATTTCTAAGGCACCTAAGCTATTGTTTCTTAAAATAAGGTTAGTTACTGTCTATTCAAGTCAGTTCATAGGGCTTCTCGTGAGTAGGAAAGTGGGTTCACAAACTCACAGGCTTTCCTTCTTTAAGGTATGGATTCTTGGCTATTACCAAAGAATTTAGATGAGCAGAGTTTGATTTTTAAAGAGAAGTGTTACTATGTTTAGTGTTATTTTTAAAATTAAGGAGCAGCTGAAAGGCAAACTTCTCCTAACAAGACATAATAAAGGAATATTTCAATTTGTCTTACAGATTTTAAAGTTTCTATAATTTGGCCAACATCTACAAAGCAAGTGGACAATATTTCCTCTTCACTTTTAACTAATAAAGAGTAGCAAAATGTTTTTCCTTACGTAGAGGTGACTGGCACAGGAGCACAAATTGAGGCTTTTAAGCGGTACTGAAAGAAATATCTCAGGGGATTTTAATTTCTAAACTGATGCCTATGTTCTTTTCCTCAGGTTACAATCTTAATCTAAAAGTGTTTCCTGCTTCATAATGCCTGTAGACGTGAAGCCAACAAATCTTTGCCAAAATGTGTTCATGTGGTAATTCACTGCAGCACAGGAGCAATAATCAGCTATGTGCGGGGGCATCTATGCTATTGTCTCTTAAAATATTTACTTTAAAAGTAAGGTTAGTTATTGTCTGTTCAAGTCAGTTAGCCCTTACAATTCATTTGATAGTGATTACCAGTACAATATGTTAGTTTGTTGGAGTGAGAATAATGGTGTTAATCCTTGGAAAAATGCAAGACCAAAGGGAAATGTAAATTTTGCATATCTATGTTTAATGTCTTACATTTATATTCGAATAAACGGTTATGATTATAACTCTTTGTAAAAGAAACTCCATTTTGAGCACCCCAGATTATGATCACTTTCAAATACAGACTCAGAAGTACAGGTTTAGAAAAAAAGGATTTAGAGGAATGCAGCATATATATTAAGACTTCTAGCGAGGGAAGGAGTGTAGCTCTGGTTCAACTAAGATAAAGTACTGATGGAAGGTCACTGGCAGATAATACAGAGAAACAGCCTGCCTTGCAGGGTTTTTTGTATGCCTAGTCAGCCTACCAAGGACAATATGTCCAGAATGACCTCTTTACTGCCTGCCAGCTAATCAGTTATCCCATAAGAAATAGCAAACAAGATTCACACAACAGAGAGCAATTATTTTTCTCTCCCTCTTTCCTCTTTGTCTTAATAAACGCTCTTTTTTTATTTGTGTGGTGAAGTCAATCTATTGAGGTATCATCTTTGTAAACAAGTAAACAGTGTGTTATAATTGACTTTGTGACTTTGAATTATTGACACTGCTCTGTTTCTTTTCCAAAGAATCTTTACACTGTTGAAAGAGTAACTCTTTTCCATTATAACCTGAGCCAAGTTGAAGAGAAGCAGGGAATACTGAATGAAAGTTACTTTTCCATGCAGGAGGAAAAAAGAAGTTTGCTATTATATAAATTTATAGAAAAATATAAAATTACATGTGAACTTATTTTTCTTTCTGTGTGTGCCAAAATTTTTTAAAGATTTATATCTCTACTACTCAAAGCATTCCCATCTCTAGCTTTTATTAGCTCTGTCACCTGAATCATTTTTCACTCATAACCACCTGGCCATTCTTTAACATTCAGTTCATGTAGATTGTACTAGGCAGTTTAAATACATTAGATTTTATAAACAAAGACCCAGTGAGCACAGAGAAGTTAACATGCCCGTGGTCACATATATATTAATTGGCAAACTGCCTCCTCCCACTTTAATTACTTTACCTCCTTCCTTGATTACTTGCCATTTTGACAGTCGTCTGATTTCTGTATAGCCCTTATGACTTTTACCATCCAACTTAGTACAGTTATGTTTCACTTAATGACAGGGATTTTGTCATTATGGGAACATCATATAGTACATCTATCAAACCTAACTGCAATAGCCTACTACACATCTAAGCTAAATAGTATATCATATTGCTCCTAGGCTACAAACCTGAACAGCATGTTGCTGAACTGAATACTGTAGGCACTTGTAACATAATGGTAAGTATTTTTGTATCTAAACATAAGAACGATACAGTAAAAATAGAGTATTATAATTTGACCAAATTCATCTTTGACCAAAATGTTACACAGCAAATGACCGTAGTTATTTATCCTCTACTTTTTAACTTTATTGGTTGTTTCATTAAGGTCAATTTTATCCCAGCTAGATAATGATGACTGCATAGCAGCTTCTGTAGCATCTACAATAGTATAGCCCAGTTACTGTCTCATAGAATGTTTTAATGAATCTTGATATTTAAGTGAAAATTTAAATTTAAATAAAAATTTTGAAAGATTTTACCAATATGAATAGTGTGACTATCCTTGTGTTTCATTTTGAGGTGTGTGGATATATAATAGTAGCTATGAGTTATATTTTACATTTTTTGCATATTAGAATAATATATATTTTGTACACAGTAAAGTCTGTTCTACTGGAAATTGGCAATAAACCTTACTACACAGAAAAAACTACATCAGTGACTTATGATTGATTCTATGGGAAAATAATGATAGAAAATGCCATGAAAATCCATGAGGTAGTTTTTATTTGCAAGGAGAAAAGATTTAATGGAAATTCAAACATAAATTAATACAGTCAAACAGGAATGACTTTACTAAAGTATACAGTAAAGATTGGAAAATTTGTGAAATATCCCCTATTGTTACATCTTTGGCCAGCAGTTTCTTTTTCAGAATGATATAGTTTCTGGTTCATTATAGCTTACATTTATTTAGTGTTTTCTATATACCATATACTTTTATGCGCTTAAATGTGTATCTCATTTAATTTTTACAAGGACCCTGTGAGGTGATATTATGACCTCCACTTCACTATGCCTGAGAAGGAATTGAGGCAATGAGAAATAAAGTGGTTTATCGAAGATTACACAGCAAGTAGTGGAGCCACAATTTGAACGAGGTAATCTGACTAGAGAGCCTGTGCACTCATTCACCATACTATTCTGCAACCTTACACAACCTATAACATGAAAAACCACCTTCTTAGAAATAAGACTGCATGACCATCCCAATTTAATGTGGAACTTTCTTCTTTATCTTCTTTTCCTTTACCTGTCTTGGTCCATTCAGGCTGCTGTAACAAAATACCATAGAGTGGGTGGCTTGTAAACAGTAATTTACTTCTCACAGTTCTGAAGGCTGGGAATTCCAAGATCAAGGCACCAACAGATTTGGTGTCTGGTGAGGGCCTGCATCCTGGTTCTTAGACTATAGTTTGTTGGTTTTTGTGTTTTGTTTTGTTTTGTTTTGCTGTGTCCTCACATGGAAAAAGGAGTGAGGGATCTCTCTGGGGTTTCTTTTATAATGGCACTAATCTCATAGGGCTCTAACCAGAGGTCTCTTTTATAGGGCACTGATTGCCTCCCAGAGGACCCTATCTCCAAATACTCTCACATTGGGGATTAGGTTTCAATATATTAATTTGAGGAGGACAAAGACATTCAGTCTATAGCCTGCCCCCATCCATAAAATTAGTGACAATTGTTGAGGAAGTGCCCGGTTACTAAAGAGAAATAAGAATTCATGATTCTCTGTTTCAATACCTTAATAGTTCTCAACTCATCAGATATAACATTTATTTTTTACTTTTATTTTTATTTGATTTTATTTTTAGATGGAGTCTTACTCTGTCATGGCCAGGCTGGAGTGCAGTGGCAAGATCTTGGCTCACTGCAACATCCACCTCCTGGTTTCAAGCGATTCTCCCACCTCAGTCTCCCAAGTAGCTAGGATTACAGGCGCCTGCCACCATGCCCGGATAATTTTTTTTTTTTTTTTTTTTTTTTAGTAGAGACAGGATTTCACCATATCGGCCAGGCTGGCCTCGAACTCCCAACCTCAGGTGATCCGCCTTGGCCTCCCAAAGAGCTGGAATTACAGCTGTGAGCCACCGGGCCTGGCCAGATATAACTCCCTTCTTTTTATAACATGTTTTCCTTTCTTGAAATTCATATTGTATATCAACATGCACATTTTTTAAAGTCATTATAATAACTTAGCTGTAATTTAAAGGAAAAAATAAAAGGAACGTAATTTTTAAAATATCTATTTTAAAATATAAATGCTTTGACATGCCAACACTTTATGGCATGATAAATTAGATGGTTATACCTGTAGACTCACTAGTGTATGAAACTACTGATGCAACTTGATATAGGTGTAAGGTACTAAAGACATAAGCAGCAATGCTTTTCTGAGATAGATTTTCTGAAATTTTGAGCAGCTTTATGATAAAGTTCTGGAGGAAAAGGACAGAATTTCCCCAATTCACATTTATATCTCTTTGATTATAAGACACACCTTTTTTCCCCACATTTCTTTTTATTAAACTTTTAAGTTCATGGGTATATGTGCAGGATATATAGGTAAAGATGTCATTGGGGTTTATTGTACAGATTATTTCATCACCCAGATATTAAACCTAGTACCTATGATTTATTTTTCATTATCTTCTCCCTCTCCCAACCTTCCACCCTTAGATAAACCCCAGTGTGTGTTGTTCATCTGTGTGTTCTCATCATTTAGCCCCCACCTGTAAGAGAATATGTGATACTTGGTTTCCTGTTCCTGCTTTAGTTTGCTAAGGATAATGGTCTACAGCTCCATCCATGTTCCTGCAAAGGACATGATCTCATTCTTTTGTATGGCTGCATAGTATTCTATGGTGTATATGTAACACATTTTCTTTAGCCTATCATTGATGGTCATTTAGATTGATTCCATGGCTTTGCTATGTGAATAACACTGCAGTGAATATAGACGTGCATGTGTCTTTATGATATAACGATTTATATTCCTTTGAGTAAATACCTATTAATGGGATTGCTTGGCCAAACAATATATCTGTTTTGAGGTCTCTGAAGAATCACCACACTATCTTCCACAATAAATGAACTAATTTGTACTCTCACCAATAGTGTATAAGCATTACTTTTTTTCCACAACCTCGCCAGCATCTGTTATTTTTTTACTTTTTAATAATAGCCATTCTGACTGGTATGAGATAGTATCTCATTGTGGTTTTGCTTTGCATTTCTCTAATAATCAGTGATGTTGAGTTTTTTTTTTATATGAATATTGGCTGCATGTATGTCTTTTTAAGAAGTGTCTGTCCATGTCCTTTGCCCACTTTTTAATAGAGTTGTTTTTTCTTGTGAATTTAAGTTCTTTATAGATGTTGGATATTAGACTTTTGTCACATGCATAGTTTGAAAACATTTTCTCCCATTCTGTAGATTGTCTTTTCACTCTGTTGATGGTTTTCTTTGCTGGGCAGAACTCTTTCATTTAATTAGATACCATTTGTCAATTTTTGCTTTTGTTGCAATTGTTTTTGGTGTCTCTGTCATGAAATCTTTGTCCATTCCTATGTCCAGAATGGTATTGCCTAGGTTGTCTTCCAGGGTTTTTATAGTTTTGGGTTTTACATTTAAGTCTTTAATTCATCGTGATTTAATTTTTGTATGTAGTATAAGGAAGGGGTCCAGTTTCAATCTTTTGCATATGATTAGCCAGTTATCCCAGTACCATCTATTGAATAGGGAATCCTTTCGTCATTGTTTGTTTTTGTCAGGTTTGTTGAAGATCAGATACCTGTAGGTATGCAGTCTTATTTCTGAGTTCTGTATTATGTTCCATTGGTCTACGTGTCTGTGTTTGTATCAGTCCCATGCTGTTTTGGTTACTGTAGCCCTGTATTATTGTTTGAAGTTGGGTAGTGTGATACCTCGATATTTGTTCTTTTTATTTAGGATTTCCTTGTGTATTTGGGCTCTTTTGACTTCCATTTGAGTTTTAAAATAGTTTCTTCTAGTTCTGTGAAGAATGTCAATGGTAGTTTAATAGGAATAGCATTGAATCTATAAACTGCTTTGGGCAGTAGGGCCATTATAACAATATTGATTCTTCCTACTCATGAGTGTGTAATGTTTTTCCCTTATTTCATCTCCGATTTCTTTGAGCAGTGTTTTGTCATTCTCCTTGTAGAGAACTTGAACCTCCATGGTTAGGTGTATTCCTAGATGCTTATTTATTTATTTATTCATTTATTTATTTATTTATTTAGAGATGGAGTCTCGCTCTGTTGCCCAGGCTGGAGTGCAGTGGCACAACATCGGCTCACTGCAAGCTCTGCCTCCCGGGTTCACGCCATTCTCCTGCCTCAGCCTCCCGAGGTACTTTATTTATTTATTTATTTATTTTTGTGGCTATTGTGAATGGGATTTCCCTCCTGATTTGGCCCTCAGCTTGACTGTTTTTGGTGTGTAGGAATGCTAGTGATATTTACACATTGATTTTGTATCCTGAGACTTTGCTGACGTTATCAGCTTAAGGAGCTTTTGGGCTGAGACTATGGGGTTTTCTAGATACAGGATCATGTAGTCTGCAAAGCAGGATCATTTGACTTCCTCTCTTCCTATTTGGATGCACTTTATTTCTTTCTCTTGCCTGATTGCCCTGGCCAGGACTTCCAATGCTGTGTTGAATAGGAGTGGAGAGAGTGAGCATCCTTGTGTTGTGCTGCTTTTCCAGAAGAATGTGTCCAGCTTTTGCCTATTCATTATGATGTTGGCTGTGGGTTTGTCATAGATAGCTCTTGTTATTTTGAGGTATGTTCCTTCAATACTTACTTTATTGAGAGTTTTTAACATGAAAGGAGTGTTGAATTTTATTGTAGGCCTTTTCTGCATCTATTGATATAATCATATGGTTTTTGTCTTCAGTTCTGTTTATGTGATGAATCACATCATTGATTTGTGTTTGTTAAACCAACCTTACATCCCAAGGATAAAGCCGTTTTGATCATGGTAGATAAGCTTTTTGATGTGCTCCTGGATTTGGTTTGCTAGTAGTTTGTGGAGAACTTTTGCATTGATGTTCAGCAAAGATACTGACCTGAAATTTTCTTTTTTTGTTGTATCTCTGCCAGGTTTTGGTATCAGGATGATGTTGACCTCATAGAATAAATTAGGGAGGATTCCCTCCTTTTCTTTTTTCTTTTTTTTTTTTTTTTTGAATAGTTTCAGTAGGAATGATACTAGTTCTTCTTTGTACATCTGGTAGAATTCAGCTGTAAATCTCTCTGGTTCTGGGTTTTTTTGTTTTTTGCGTTTTTTTGGTTGGTAGGCTTTTTATTACTGATTAAATTTCAGAACTCACTATTGGTCTGTTCTTGGATTCAGTTTCTTCCTAGTTAAGTCTTAGGAGGTTGTATGTATCCAGGAATTTATCCATTTCTTCTAGATTTTCTACTTTATGAGCATAGAGGTGTTCATAATATTCTCTGATGGTTGTTTGTATTTCTGTAGGGTCAGTGGTAATATCCTCCTTGTCACTTCTGATTGTGTTTATTTGAATCTTCTATCTTTTTGTCTCTATTAGTCTAGTTAATGGTCTGTTTTATTAATGTTCTCAGAAAACCAGCTCTTGGATTTGTTGATCTTTGAAATGTCTTTTTGTGTCTAAATCTCCTTCAGTTCAGCCCTGATTTTGGTTATTTCTTGTCTTTTGCATGCTTATGATTTGTTTGCTCCTGGTTCTCTATTTCTTTTACTTGTGATAATTAGGTTTTTAACTTAAAATCTTTCTAACTTTTTGATGTGGGAATTTAGTGCTATAAATTTCCTTCTTAACATTGCCTTAGCTGTGTCCCAGAGATTCTGGTATGTTGTATCTTTATTCTGATTAGTTTCAAAGAACTTCTTGATTTCTGCCTTAATTTCATTATTTACTCAAAAGTCATTTAGGAGCAGTTATTCAATTTCCATGTAATTGTATGGTTTTAAGTGAATTTATTTGTCTTGATTTCTAATTTGATTTTGCTGTGGTTCAGGAGATTTTTTGTTATGACTCTGTGCCCACCAAGGCTCTGTCTACAATGGCAGTCATCAGGGGGAGGGGAGTAAACAGCACTCCCACATGCCTGGGGGGCAATGAAAGCAAAATCTGCCCATACAGACGTGCTAGCAAATCAATGTGGGGAGTTGCTGTGAGCCCAGGGGAAGCTGCAGTATGAGGAGACAGCATGCAGGCTGGCACATGGCTGTAGTGGCCACCCCACTGGAGCTCTCTGCTGGTTAAGCATGGTCCGCCAGCACAGAAGGTACGGTATGGGCCCCCAGGGAACCCGAGACCACCCTGCAAGCAGGAGTAGCCAGGCTGGGGCCCCAGGAGAGGCCAGCAAATCAAGGAGTGCTCAGGTCAGACCTGCCCTGTCTGACAGGCAAGACCACTCTGCAGAGTTCAGATCTGACAGTTCCTCTAGGGTTAACATCTCCTATGGGAGCAAGTCGAGCCTAAAGGGGATAGCCATCCCTGGTTGTACTCTGCTACAGATGCTCCCACATCAAACCCTCTGGGTTCTGCATCAGCCGACTTGCTGCCCCTAACCCTTCTCTAAATAGCTCTCTCTGCCAACTTGAGTGTCCATGGTGGTCAAGGGGTTCCCTTCTGCCAGG